CACTATCAGGAGGGGTGGGGCTGGCCGGAGGTCTTCAGGTCACTGGGTGTGGGTGCTCAGCTGGAACAATGGAACCCCAGCCCTTTCTTCCTCTCTCCTGACGCCCCACACCCCTGCCATGTTGCGCCACCACATGCCCAAAGTGATGGGGCCAATGGATCACAGATGAAACCTCTAAAACCACGAGCCAACATAAACCTTTTTGCTCTTTGTAAATTGATTCTAAGGTGTGTATTGTAGCGGCACCGAGGTTCCATCCTTGGAAAGGGCACTGAAGACCAAGTGACAAATGGCTCACTCAAGGTCCACATCAGCTCAAAGGTGGCCAGGCTTGGGACCCCACACCCAGTTACATCCTTCTTTTTGCTTGTATTTTATTAACTTGCAATGCTGTGGTATTTCCCATGTATTAAAAACAAAGTACATTAAATAAAGTCCATAGAATTCTCACCCTGTAAGACAGGAACAACTATGATCACAATTTACAGAGAAACTGAGGCTCAGAGTAGTAAAGTAACTTGCTTCTGTACCTCCAGAACGTGGCAGGGCAGAAAAGGGATCCACAACTCTAGTCTCAGAGTCTCCTCCTTCTGTGGCGACTTTATTCAGGTGGCCACCACCAGTCTCTCTACCCTGGATTCACACACCAACCCTCTTAATGAGTGTCCCTTTCCTTGAACTGAGCTCGGCTGAGTGACCTGGGTTGGTACAAGTGACTTCCTGGGCCTTGTAGGTTTGCAATGTCTGTCCCAGACCACGCTTGGTTAAGGGCTCAACAGAATCCAGTGTCCCAGCTGTCACCACCAAGGAGCCACAGGTGTGAAGGTCCCACAGCCTTCCAGACCTGGGGACACCAACTGAGCACCACACATGACCTCAGACTAGGTCACAAAGAGCAGAAGAATCACCTGGCTGAGCCCTGACCAGATCCCTGCCCATAAATCTACTTATCTGCCTCATATGGCAGCCGTGGGTTCCGCTTTATGATGCCATCCCCGTTGGCTACCTGGAAAATCCCTCCTCCATCTCTTTACCCTCAGGTCTTCCACTATGAGGCCTCCCCAATTCCCTGCCAACCCCCCGACAACAGATGCCAGCCCTTCAGGCTCCTCCCATACCCAGCCATGGTACCAACCTCACAGTCCTATGGTGCCCAGCTCTGCATCTGTCCCCCCCTCTTCCAAGCTGGTGCTCCGTCCTTCCTCCTTCTCCTCTCTCAGCAGAGCCCAGCACCTAGCCTGATGGCAAAGAGGGGCTGAACCCAATAGACCCCTGTTTACCGAGCGACCTTCCATAGCTCTCAGCAAGCACACAGGGCCCTTCGGAGCAGCACCCCACTGCAGCGCTGCTGTTCTGTGTGTGACCGTCCCTTGTGATGGGGGCCGACCTGTGCCTTGCTGGACATGTAACAGTGTCCCTGGGCTGTCCAGGCTTCTCTCTGACCCCAGATTATGTCCGCAGATGCTGCCAACTGTTCCTCCAGAAGGGGGACAAAATAACTGTGACTAGGAAGACAGTGGCTGTGATGTGTGTGCAGTCACACGGCACATGCCAAGTACCCCAAAACCATATGCCCATGTGGCCCTTGGGGGTGCCTGTCCCCTCCAGGCCACACAGTGATCAGCAAGTCCTCACAATTTCAAAACTGGAGGGGTCCCTAGAGCAGGGGGTTGCCCCAAAGATGTCCCCATTTACAGCAGGAGCCTGGAAAAGTGGCACCAAATGTCCCCACCCACAGCCTGTAGGCCTGCTCTCTGTGAGCAGTCAGAAGAAGATCCCGCCCACCATACTGGGGACTGAACCCAGGGCCTTCACCCCAAGCTACAACCCCAACCCTTGATTTATTATGAAACAGGGTCTCGCTAAGGCACTAAAGTGCCCAGGCTGGGCTCAAACTTGCAATCCTCCTGCCTCAGCCTCCCAGAATGCTGGGACCAGAGGGCATGCGCCATCAACATCCAGCTGAGAACACCCTTTCTAAGTATTTAACCCAACACTGGCCTTTTCCATTGCTCCATAAACATCACCATCTCCAATAGGACTTCCATGGAATATTCAAAGTAACAAATCCAGTCACTGCACCCATCTTTCCAAAACCTGTGAATGGTCCCTACCAGGAAAAGCTCAGATGTAGAAACCAGACCTCAGATGCCCACATGACAGGACTCGGTTCATTAGCAATGGCAGCACTGTGAGTTGGAAGAGCGGCAGCACCCCTCGTCTGAGCCCCTCCATTATAACGCCTCAGGGTGAGCACCCACGTGGCTCCCATTTACAGATAAAGAAATAGAAGCTCCGCAGGGAGGTCATCAGCTCAACCGAGATCACTGGGAATCCGAGCCCCACCTGCTGGGACCTAATCCACCACAGGCTCTGTGAGGGCCCAAGTCTAATCTACTCACTGCTGTATCTCCGGTACCTGGTACCTCGGACAGTGCCGGGCAGAGTTGGCATTTAAATGGGGCAGCAAAAGAGAGTGGGAAAGAGGACGAGAAGAAGCGGTGTAATTGAAACCTGGCTGGTTATCAGGATCACCGGGCACTCCCAGGAGGAAGCAGAAATAATGAGTCTCCCTCCGTCAGACAGGCCGGATAGAATCAACCGGTTTTTCACAAAGAGTGGGAAGAACCGCAGTACAGGCCAAAGGCCCCAAGCCAAAATCACGTACCCATCAGCATGAGCTTCCAGAGAAAATTTCAGTAGCCGCACTCAGGTGTTTCCGACAGCCCAAGGAGAGAAGAGACCTTCTGTCCACTCTTGTTGGGGCACAGCTACATCTGCCACCAGTGCTGGTCCCTCCTGCCTCCCCACCCCATCAGCGACAGCTCTGAGCTACCCGGGAGGTGGATGGGAGGCGGATGGGACCGAAGCAAGTGCCATGCGGTGGGGGAGTTAGCCGCTTCCTCACACAGGCACTTTCCAGCCTGGCTTCCAGCTCCCTGTCACCTGGAAACTCCGGGCTCCAAGGCCAGAAGAAACCTCTGGGAGCTGGTTGGTGTCACTCAGAATGAGATAGGTGGAGAACTAGGCCGGGCTCCTTGGATTTCCACTCTCATGGATGAGTGCAGAACCCCTGATTGGCAGGTGGGCAGATGGGAACAGTACGGTCAGGCCCAGCAGCCTCTTCAGTGGGGTGCTGTCAAACTGCCCTTCAAAGTTACAATCTGCCAGACCCTTGAACTCAGAACTATGTCCCTAGGAAATGGTCCTTTGGGTACACTCACAGGTGTGCCTACAATTCAGACCCCAGAATGACCCTCCAACACTGCTGACAGGAAGGCAAGTTGTGCAGCCTCTTGGGAAAGCAGCCTTGCAGCTCCTAAAATGATTACACATAGCACAGCATGGTGGTGCACACCTGTCATCCCAGCAGTCAGGAGGCTGAGGCAGGAAGAGCGCAGCAAGTTCAAGACCAGCCCAGGGGATATAGGGAGTTCAAGAACAGGACAGTGTGAACTACAGAGAGACCTGGTCTCTCAAAAACAAACAAATAAACAAACATACATACATATGTAAAATGATTATCCAGAGTTAGCATAAGACCCAGCAATGCCATGCCTAGGCATATACCCAAAAGAAACAAAAACATTAAGATGAGTTATATTCATGGACCAACTCCCTATGGTGGAAGTAATTATATACTGCAAACATGTACTAATAAAAATAAAAAATTAAACACACAAAAGAAATCCACTCAGAAGCTTGCAAACAAATATGCATAGCAGCGCTGCTCATATCAGCCAAAAGGCAGAAACAACCAGATGGTCATCGACAGATCAATGGCCAAACTATGAACTATCCCCAGGAATAAAACTGGAACACGCAACAAAGTAGATAAACCCTGGAAACTTTATGGGGGGCGGGGCACAAAAGGCCACGCAGTGTAAGAGTCCATTTATGTGAAATACTCCGAGCAGGGAAATTTATAGAAACTAAGCAGACTAACGACTGCTTGGAGCTGGGGACAGGGGTCAGGAGGGATGGACGGCTCAGGGGCAAGGGGTCTCTTCTTGAAGCCATGAAACGGCTCTAAAATGGAAAGCGGTGCTGCTTGCATGCATCTGTGATTACACTCGTCTAAACGGTCAGCTCCAGGGCAAGTCAATTACATCTCAATAAAACAGCTATTTTTAAAAAGAAATGCAAAGCATAGTTAGTGTAGCTACTGGCCCAGACTGGACACAGCAGACACAGTCCACCTCCAGTTAAACTGCTAACACTGCACCCAGACATTCTTGGAACCAGAAAAGAATGAGCCAGAGTGATAAATGCTGATAAAGAGCCTCCCTGAGCTAATTATTAAGTGAAATCAAGGTGTTTCTTGGTCGTTCCCATTTGAGCTGCGAGCCCGCACACACAGGATATTTTTACACGACAAAAGCAACCATCAATGGGCTTATTTTTAGGGCCTGAGGGGCTGGACAGAAAGACATTTACCACTTGTCTAAAGCTTTGACTCCAGAGGGTACATTTTAATTTTTCTATCGCAAACTAGTTAATAAAAAACGCAAATTAAAGCAAGTTGAGGCACCTGAAAATTCCTTACATGCTTCTACTCCATTTGTTAAGAAGTCTCAGAAATTGTGCCAACTGCCCCAGGGAAGGGAAGCTGGGGTAGAAGGGGAGGCACCTCCATCCAGGACCAGGACCCAAACTTGATTTGAAAAATGCAGCTCAGTGACAGCTCTCTGAACCTGGATCCCAAATGAAGGCCTGGCGCCACTGTGGTTTGCAGAGAAACAGCCAAAATTTGGCCGTTAGCCCTCAGAGGGGGCAGACAGGGAACCAGCGTGGGGACCACCGAGTCTGGCCAGATATCATCTCCCAGTTGGCAGACTCTGGCTCATACAAAGGGGCAACACTGCAACACTTCGTTGGTACCTCTCTGATTTTTTTTTAGAACAATGCACCAAACCATCATGTACAGCAACCAACGGCAGGGCCCACAGGCGGAAGATGAAAAGGTTCTGGTCTGGCAGATGGGGTCTGCTGGTACTCACGGAAGCCCTCGATCTTGTCCGCAGTCTTGCTCCAGGCCACCTGCCGCGTCTCCATGATCACCTGGACCGTCCTCCGCTCCGGGGTGGACTTGCGGAAGCTGAACACCGTCATGACCGTCCCCAGCTCCAGGGCTCGCTTGATCTGACTTTTCTCATATTCCGGAAGGGCATCCACGCTGACCATGGTGTTCATTGTCAGTGCCCCCGGGTTGGAGGAAGGAGGCAGGAGAAACGGACAGGAGGCTGGAAGAGCAGAAGAAGGGAGTGAACTGGTGTAAATCAACTGAGGGGGATCAGTTAACAGGACGAGGATGTCGGGGGCTCAAGTCCTGTCTCCTGCCCACCAGGATGAGTTTTGGGGGAAGTCAGCAGGGCAGAGAGGTTTAAATGGGGTCCAGGTAGGGGAGGAGCCCCTGACCTCGGCGACCTGACCGTTAGGCCAGCTTTGAATAACCAAATCACCGCCATAAGCGGGTGGGGACCCCTCTCCCCACAGAGTATTTGAATAGCCAAAGTAGCCTCCCTAACACCAACATCCATTTCCAACCATCCTTTCTGTAACCGACCCTTTACTTTCTAAGCAAAATCGGGCTGAGGAAAACAAAACCAAAAAGTCTCCAGAATGGGTTTGTGGAGCAAATGATTGCCCTGGACAGAAATGAGGCCAAACGGGCAAAAATTGTCAAGGCCCAGCAGCAGCCTCAAGTTTAGGTCCTGGTGCGGGTGCCTGGGGACGGAGGCCCGGCTGGGCGGCCTGGTCTCACCTGTGACATCTCGTCCCAGGCTCTCTGTTCATGGTCTCCCACTTCAGCTAGAGATCATTCCAGAACACGAGTCATGCCGCTCTCCTGCTCAGGACACTGCAGGAGTGCCCCGGGCCTCGCTCTGCACCTCCTGCCTGTGCTGCCCACCGCATACCCAAGGACACAGCGTCCACCCCAGGTGCCACCAAGAGCAAAGGGCTCCACCGCACCTGCTGCCGGACCACGAAGGCCCACCTCGCTGCCAGCTGCAGCCACTCCGAGAAGTCACGTGGGCCAGGTATGATGGGGAACACCTGTAATCCTAGCACTCAGGAGGCTGCAAGAAGATGGCCACAAGTTGGAGGCCCACCTGGGCTACATGGTGAACTAGGCCAGGCTGAACTGCATCGCAAGACCCCGACTCAACAACAAAACAAACAAACGAAAAAGTCACCCAAAGCCTCAGGGCTCTTTGGACCCAGAAGAAGGCAATATCACCCACCTTGTTCCAAGGATTAAACAGGATGCTATTATCTCGCGCTCTTCATACAATGAGACATGGCTGGGCGCAACTTAGATTCAGCCATTATGACTATTACCAATTGTTCGGCGGACACACACACACACACACACTGTCACAAAGTAGCCCTAGAGGCTGCTTCCCTGCAAATGAGAGCAAGCAGGCTCAAGAACAGCGGGAAGCTACAATGTACACCACCCTACCTGGGCCTTCAGCAGGGCCTCTGTTCACACTCACTGCAGGCTGTATGGTCATTCATCAAGTGCCAACTCTATGCCAGGCCTGAGCTGGGGAGCAGGATGCAAATGCGGGGCAGGGGAGAGGCCAGGCCTTGCCCTTTGCCCCTTCCTCCTTCCCTCCCTCGGTAACACACGGGGCGTGCTGACAACGGCGCTGACGTCATTAATAGCACCTGCTCTGCCTGCTGGGAGGTGGACCTGAGAGAGACAATGCGGAGGAGAGGGCAGCAGACCGGGGTCCGGAGAGCAGCAAGGCCACCTCAAAATGGGCCTGAGGGGCCCCAAGCCCAGGGGCTCAGGAAGCTTCTGAGAGGAGGAGTTGCCCGAGTCCTGTCTATAAAAAGCACAAGGCAGGAAGGAAGGGGTCCAGTCCGAGGAGGCAGGATTGACAGAGTCCTCTGTTGAGCACGGAGGATCACCTTGGGACAGGCCTGAAAGCACCTCCGCCCATCACCCAGGACAGGGGACAAGGCAAGAAGGCGCTGTCCCATCCTTTATTGGAAGTGGCCCCTAACTGGGCTCCACCCGGATGCCAAGGTTGCTGATCTCATTAACTCAGTGGGAAATGCCGGAGGGGAAAATAAAGCCCTGAGTGGTGAACTTAATCCATCACGTTCACGCAGACGGCGGTGACACCAGGACTCAGACCCTGGTCTCAGTCCCAGCCCCCATCCTTGGCACCTGCTTTCTGGAATTCAGAATCCCAAGGCAGAATCTGACCACACATTAAATTAGCAGCCCTTGCCATTTCCAAAGACAGAGAGAGACTTGTCCAAGGTCAGGAAGTGGCAGAACCGGGATCTGAATCTGGTCTGGACTGCCACGCTGTGCTGGCTGCCCCTGCCACCTGAGAGTCCCCCACTGCAGGGTCCCCAGGGCAGCCCAAGCAAAACAAAAGCAGGAAACAGAAGCTGCTTCAAAACGCCTGCAGTGAAACAAAAACCAGGACAAGGCACCCTGGGCCCATTGCTTTGCAACCTGGCTCAGAGACTCTGAGGTCCACTACCCAAATCCAGCCAGCTCCCCACCCAGCTCTGTGCAGTGCAAAGTTCAACGCCTAAGGCAAGAGTCTCGGGGCCTGAGCCCAGGGAAGGGACCGGCCTCCACCGCCAACTCCAGCTTGCTTCTGCTTTTTCTCTTAAGAAATGAAAGAGCCTCGTTTCCGTTTCTTATCCCCAACGGGTAACTTTGTAAAATAATACAACCACGGCTGGGATGGAATAAGCCACTTGATCACTTTTACATTTCAAGTCTTTCACTTTGAAATAAACTCTCAATACCCAAGAACCGCAAACCAGGAAACAGGGAAGATGTCTCCTCCGAGTGCTCTCAGGACACCCAAGGCAGAACAGGACACAGTTCTGTTAAAACAGCAGAACTGAACCCCTGAGCAGAGCCCCCACCAGCTGCTGTATCTTACACAGCATCAGCAGGACACATTTTCACCAAAGGAACCCAGCAGTGTAGACCACCACAGGAAGAAGTATAAATTGGTTCGATTTTGTGCTCGCTTTTTGGCAGCACATACACTAAAGTTGGTTCCAAAAAAAATTTTTTTAATACAACCTTACATTTTAAAACGTAAGCCCAGTGTGGTGCATACACCTCTAATTCCAGCACTCAGGAGGCTGAGGCAGGAGAATCACAGTGAGTTCCCGCCCAGCCTGGGCTACATGGTGCATTCAAGGCCAGCCTGAACTACACAGTGAGACCCTGTTTCAAAAAGCAAACAAAAATGTGAAACAAGACTATGCTTTGACCCGGCAAGCACATGCACGGACAAAGCGCCAGGCACAAAAACGTTCACATAAGCAGTATTTGTAACATAGAAACCAAATCCACCCACCGTGGCGGGAGGGGTCCCTTAAATACACGATAGAACGTGCACATTAACAAATGCTCAGAAGCTATGAAAAGAATAAGGATTCCTGACAAACAATTTGATCTGCAAAAGTTCATAGCTCTTCCAGGAGAGCTACAGAGCGCTGCTTGTACCGCAATCGCATTTTTGTGAGGCTCTGCTCACAAGGCTGGGAGCTTGCAGACCACGGAAGGGCTGGGACGCGGCCCAGGAGATGACTCGACTCTGAATGGAAGTGGTGGCATAGATGAGCTTTTCTCTTTTGCGTTCTTACTGTTTTCTAAATTAAGAAGCGTTCCCAAAAGTTTTCTCCACGGCGGTTTCCCACGGGCTCCACCTAGGGAGCGCAAAGGGGCTCTGCACGGGGTCCACGTGCCCAGCCTTGCAGGGGCACCCGCAGCTGCCGCGCAACGCCGTAGCGTCTCCCCCGCACCGCTGCTTTCCAGAAGCACCTGTGACTTTGCAGTCGGGCAGTCACTGGGGACCGCTGGAGCCCAAATCCTGTACGGCCTCCCTGTAGAACTGAAACTAAGGACAGTGGCCTGTGCCTGCGGTGGGGGCCCGCAAGCAGACGGACGGTCGGGACCTCCGGGCTCCCTTTCCAGGGAGGACCCGGGTCTCAAGCCGGGAAAGCAGCTGGAGGGCCAGGGGGGCTGCAGTAAACAGGGCAAACCAAGACGGGGGCGGGGGTCTGCATCGTGCCCAGGGTCACGCAGACGGAACTGAAATTCAAATTAGGTTCTGACTGAGGAGGCCACCTGCCCCTGGCCGTGCCGGCACCCCCAGCCGGGCGGCTCCTCGCTGTGTTCGGGAGCAGGTGACCCCAACGTCTGCGGGACTCCCAGCCTTAACTCCCAGCCCAGACCCGGCCCATCTTTCCCCCAATTCTTCTCCTGGGGGCGAGCACCGGAGCGGGTTCCCAAACGTGACCAGGAAAGTGCACGGACGCGCGGGGGGGGGTTCGGTGCGTACAGTTGGGGGGCCGCGAATTCCTGAACAGCCGCAGG